TACTTTTTTTTGTCACAGAAATTTCATTTTGTCTTTCCAGACTAGTGAACACATGGTCCTGCAGTTTACAGAAGATAAAATATTAAAAGGTCATTACTTTTTTTTTTTTTTGCTTCTAATTGTACCCCCAGAGACCTGAGAACATGCAGCCTGTGAAAGTTAAAGGGAATTTTCCAGCACATATAAATACTCCAACTCCTCTCCTGAAAGGGAGGGAAAAATCAATTTCCCCTGTGATGGAGGACTGCTCACTCCTTAGTACTGACTGAGTAATGCAATGCTCTGTTTTAGAAAACATTATTAGTTCTATTATTAATATATTATTATTATTATTTTAAGAAATGGAATTAGAAGCCTGTAGGTTGCTGAACGGGACACGGTGAAATTTCTTACCTACTCCTGAACTCTGCTGAGCTAATACTTGGACCTGCATTTCACTTTGTACAGATGTCATATAAACTGACCCCAAGTACTTGATCACTGCTTCACTTCTTTTCCTGTGGTTGCTGTGTTTATTTTGGAACAGAGAGAGCCTGCAGATGTAGGTTTCCCTTCCCCTGCCCCTTAGGCACATGACAGGCTCGGTAGAACAGGTAAGCAAAATGTGGCCCACAGACCTTAACGTTAAATGTTAATATCAGTCTTTTCCAGGTGCTGTTTGCTTACTGGTCCTGGTAAATCTCATACTGGTAGAATCCTGTTTTAATGATTAGCATCAGTACATCTGGTCCTCTATAACAAAGATATTTCCAGGTCCCAACAGACGGCCCAGTGTAACAGAGCTTTACTGATCTGGTTTCAATAAATCTTAACAAAAAATTCTATATAACAGATGTTTTTTCACTAGTCCCTGTTAATGTTTGGATGGTTCTTTATATCAAAGGTAGTGTGATTTGGGCATTTAGTTGTGCTGTTCAGCATAAGCTATTTTTTAATCAACTGACTGATTTGACAAAATGTTTAGGTCCCCTTAGAGAAAAAAAAAATCAAGTTTTTGCATACAATGTAGCAAGAAGTGTTCTGTTAAATTACATCAGAATGTAACTATACAATCTGGACGTCCTGTTCAGTTGATTCAATGAGGTGTTCCGGCACTGACCTTTTTAAGGAAGAGATTATTATTTTCCTATAATAACTCAAGGTTTTTTCTTTAATTTTTTAAATAGGAAATGTCAGTGTTCAGCGCTCAAACCACTGCAGCATTTGTGATGCATAAAGTATGTATAAATCACGGGGAGTGTGTTAGCTGCCCAATGTCCAGGAGCAATTATCAAATGAGAACTTTCTGTTTTTAAACAGCGTTGATCCTTCTCAACCTAACATCTGCCTACAGAGACGCCATGCTTAGCAATTCTTAGGCTATTCAATGGTTTTTAAACATAAATGCCAACTGTAGATTTCCGGATTGTTGATGGACACTCATTTTTGTACACAAACAGACACCAGGAAGGGAAGTACGATTATCATGCTGTGCTAAGGAAAATAATACAAGTGAGAAAATATTATTTTTAGATAAGACCACTTCCTAAACCTTTAATGCTATCTCACAAATCTGTCCACATTATGTTAGAATATGAACATGTATGACACAGATTTCTTCCTACCAGGGACAATGCTTCGTGTCTATCTAGACCCCGGTCATTTTCTTTCGGCAATGCTCAACCCAGCATTTTGTGGCCAAGTCCAGGAAGACAGGACGGTGAGCATTTCCACTCATTGGAAAGAAAAGGGAGTTATGTAAGAATAAGACTTCAGGGGTCTGCTGGGCAAAATGAGTCCAAAAGAAGAAACAGACAGCCTGTGAGGATTTTGATTCTGGGTTGTCCGTACACAGTTCTCCTTCTATTAAAGTATATCAGCACTTTTGACTTCTCCTTTTTGTAAAAATAACCCTTTTCTTCTTGTATGTCAAGGAAACTGCTCCCATAATTTGTAAATGTTTAATATTCATTCCCCTTAAATGTAATTTGTATATATTCACTGACACATAAATATATAGAATAATAGCACCCCCAGGTGCAAAACAACCTTCTAGGAAGTTAGATTCAGGACCCTCTGGTTATGAAAGTGTTACTTTGTCTTTCATGTGTGACCATTAGTTAAAAAAGGTTCTTTAAGCCTCTAGATTCTAGAATATCCTAGACTTAAGCCCTGGACCATGCCTAACTTAAAAGCCCTCTGCAGGGGCACCCAAGTGGCTCAGTCAGGTAAGCATCTGACTCTTGATTTCGGCTCAGGTCATGATCGCAGGGTCCAGGGATCAAGTCCCGCGTGGGGCTCCATACTCAGTGGGGTGTCTGCTTGGGATTCTCTCTCTCTCCTTCACCCTCTGCTCACACTCTCTTTCTCTCTCTCTAAAATAAATAAATAAGTCTTGGGGTGCCTGGGTGGCTCAGTCGTTAGGCGTCTGCCTTTGGCTCGGGTTGTGATCCCAGGGTCCTGGGATCGAGCCCTGTGTCGGGCTCCCTGCTCTGCGGGGAGCCTGCTTCTCCCCCTCTCTGCTGTTCCCCCTGCTTGTGCTCTTGCTCTCTCTCTGTCAGATAAACAAACTAAAACAAATAAATGAATAAATGAATAAATAAATAAATCTTAAAAAAATTAAAAGCCTTCTGTGGTGTTCTCTGTATTCTAAACCGACATCTCATTTTATTGACACTGTTCAGGAAGACGTATTATATTTATGGGGTATGTATACAAATCGAGGCCGTCCAGTTAAATACAACTAAGGTGGCACAGTCCTGCATTAATTATTAATAGAGCAAAAGATAACTCTAAAATTCTCAATTATGAGAATGGGACATCTAACATGCCTAATGTTCAGCCACCAAACCAAATATGCTCAATGTCAATGTTCTGGGGCTTTCCCTGGGCATAGGTGGGAAGAGGCCCAAACAAGGAATTTAGAATTACTTCTCTTCTTCCCAAACTCCAGACCCTGGGAGCCTCCAAACATTGGGCCTGGGGCAGACACCGGGTGTTTATCAGGGCACCCCACATAATGGATCACCTCCACCTTCCATGATGGGAATGCTAGGCTGGCAGATAAACTGACCTTTGCGCTAAGGTGTCTGACCTCTCCCTCCCCTGGAGGCTAGTTCTCTCGCCAGACAGCTGGGGACAAACAAACCGAGAGGCAGCGCTTTGACAAATGAAGCTAAAGCAGGATGCTTTGTTTCTCTGAGGCCCACAAGCTGGCATTCCACAAGCTCATTAGGGGGCCATGAATTACTGGGAGGCCAGGCCTACACATCCTCCTCCTTGGCAATCCCTGTGGCCACACGTTCCCATGAGCTGGGGGGCCAGACTCCGCTGGTCCCAGTTCACATTCCATCCTGTCAGGGGACTCTCGAAAATAAATAATATTTACAGCAGAGTTCAGAGCTCGTGAAAGCCAAGGGGAGAAAAGTACCTTCAGAGAATCCACTGGACCTGTGGTTGTTAAAACGATTTTTCATGAGACCAGAAACCTTTGTAAGTATAATGACCCTGCACTTATCAAACCCCCCAAATTCCAATGCTAAATGAAGGGCATAAAAAAGTAACAACTATAAAAAACAGGATATCTTCAGGATATAGAAAATGTTTCATTCAACAAATGTGGTCAATGGTCACTGGCCACCTACAATGCTTAAGGTCTCCAGCTCAGGCTGTAAAACAGCCTTAGTTTAAAAAAAAAAAAATGACTATCTCCGCTTTATAGCAAGAACTTGGGAAGTCTAAATAAAAGGGGCTTGGAGGTCTCCTTATGCAAATATTCAAACTGAACTGAAGGGACTAATTTTAGAATCCGGGGTAAGCACACTGCAACTCACCAGCTAGATCCAGCCCTCTGCCTGTTTTTATGTCCCACGAGCTAAGAATGGCTTTTACATTCTTTAAATGGTTAGGGGAAAAAAAAAATCAAAAGAATAGTATTTCATGATACAAGAAAATGTATACAGAATTCAGATTTCCAAGTTTATAAATAAAGTTTTATTGGAACACTGCTACGTTCATTTATTTACCTACTGTCTATGGCTGCTTTTACCTTTGCAAAGGGAGAGCTGAGTAATGACAACAGAGATTGTAGGGCCTGCGAAACCCAAGATATTTACGTTACAGATCAAATCCACCAAAGCATGAGAACACACACAAGTTCCTTCAAGGAGTAGAGGCAGGATTTGTTTTTCTTTTTAATGCCAATTTTGCTACTTTCCTATTGATAAGCCAGAACGCTATGCCCTGACACTCTGTTTTCTTGGACCTTTAGACCCTGATTCTAACACACAGGCTATCCCAGACATCTCTCAGGGAGTTCAGTAACACAGAATACCAGGAGTCACGTCTGTCTGTGAACAGACAGTCCTGTTGGTGGTGGCTACCCCTCCCTGCTCTGTACAGGCTCCAGGGATGATCATGAGAAGCTGAGAGGCAATGCAACCACGCGGGGTGGCAGGCGACGCCTCAGGGAATGAACAGCAAGACTGGAGCTGGCACTTCTACAGGGTTAAGCATTGACATTCTCTCCAATGTACTATCTGGAGAAGGAAGAAAAGGAGAAGCGGAGGACTGTAATACTTTTATGAAGGAAATCTCCCTATGGGATAGCATTCGTTCTCTGGAGGGTCAGGGGACTAAAAAATGAGAGAGAGAGAAAAAGAGATATCCACATCACAGGGTTATCTGAAGCCCTATTCACACCAGAGTGGTGATTCCCGACGCCATGGACACACCTGGGCAACCTGACAACCCTCTAGACAACGGCCATGGGTGACGCTGGGTGCGACTCTCAGCTTTTAGTCACCTCTAGGCTTTTCATTTAGTACAGAAGATCCTCCTTGCCATTATTACATTTCCTCTGCCCGAGGTAGTTGGATCTCATCATTAATATATAATACGAAAGCACTGTCCTCCTACAAAGGATCCAAAGAATAATTTCTTTTAATAGAGATGTAACAGAGCACATGACCCCCAAAAATAACAAAACCAAAAAAAAAAACCCCAACCTTTTGTAAACTCACCTAGAAAAATCTCCCTTTGCCTCCTGTAGGAGAAAAAAAGTCAACGTCAGTGAAACGGTTCCAGTTCAGTGTGCCAGACTTTCAAACACATCCCCTGGTCACGACAGCTTCTCTACTGAGGAAGCTCAGCTTACTACTTCTGTTGTCCTACCTGCTACAGGAAGCTGACAAGGAAACGACCAGGCATTTGCCACCTGAATCCAAGACACTAAATTACACTTTAGAAAGTTATATACAAAGAAAGCGATTCATAATAACAAAATGCATGTTTCGCCTTCTTAGACCCTGGTTGACCTTCTTCTAGTTTAAAGATTCGGAATCGGAAGGTGTGTCTGGGTAGAGCTGTCTCTGTCTCGAGTTAATTGTGTTGTCTTGTACTGTGGGCTCCTGCCCGATTATACTACAGAGGAACCATGGAACCTTTAATGAATCTAGCACCATGCCTTGAATATAGTAGTCGTTCAATAAAGCTTTGTGGAAGGAATAAATTAATGACCTTCTTTCAATTCGTCTTGCCAGTGTGACTAATGTTGTCATTGTTGCTAATTTTCATTAATAACTCTTTTACGCATAAGCTAACGGTCTCTCCTTGCCTTTCCATGGGGTGTGAAATGATTCTCTTGGCAATTAATTCTGCTATTGACTTGGCTTTCTCCAGAGTGGGGAGGGGACCAAACCTGAAGAAAATGGAGTCACTGAATGATCTCAGTTTCCCCCAGACTCAAATGATATAGAGACAGTTTTCCTTTGCAGACAGACACCGTCATGAAACTTGGGAATACCAGAATCTCCTATTTCCTGCTACGGCGTAGCTCCTTCCCGTTAGTGCTATAATTAAGATGACGAGTAGGGAGAAGATATGGCAGCTAGCTGTGGATGCTAAATCTTATTCCTGTCTCTTCTGGGTCTGGCTCTGGGATGCACAGATGAGGGCAGAACAACCTACCTGTAAAATATAGGAGGCCAATTCAAATACCACTTCACTGTCAACGTCGATCAGCTCCTTAAAGGAAAAATCAACAAGGAAGGTAAGTTTGGGACTTTTACTGATTTCTTTACAACACCTCCTTTAAAAGGGGCCCAGTCTTCCTTTTCTGAGCGATCCCCCAGAATCTCAAACACTCAGAATATCTGTGGTCTGAATGACTTGACCCCAAATGCTCCCTGACATCCCATTCACGGCTTTTAGCCAGAAGGGACCCAGTGGTCCTGGGCCTTCTCAGTCACCTCAAAGGCCTTATCTTTTAAATCTTGAGAAATTAGGTGGTGGGCCGGTCCTGAGTGTTTTACAAATTTGTTCATCTGGTTCATCAATGGAGTGAGGTTACTCGATATCCAACTGTGTTTTCTTTGTAAACTCTACCTTAGTACCAGGAGTAAGGCTTTATTGAAGAAAAAAAAAGTCGTAACAGGATTGTAACTCTTCAAATTAAAAGGAAATGAAATTAAAAATACAGTTTCTCATCACAGCGGCCTCATTGCTTTCAAGCACTCAACAGCTGGATGTTGCTGTGGCTACCACGGGGTCGGAGCAGATACAGGGCACTTCTGTCATTGCAGAAAGTTCTTTAGACCAGCACTGCCACAGAATCTAAGTTTATTTATTTTTTATTTTTTTAAAGACTTTATTTATTTATTTGTCAGAGAGAGAGAGAGCACAGGCAGGGGGAGTGGCAGGCAGAGGGAGAGGGTCCCCGCTGAGCAGGGAGCCTGACGCAGGCCTCCATCCCAGGACCCTGGGATCTGACTGAGCCACTCAGGTGCCCCACAGAGTCTAAGTTTAAAAATGCTTCTTTCCTATTCCTTCTTTCCCTAAATATTTAATCATGGGGCACCTGGGTGGCTCAGTCGGTTAAGTGTCTGCTTTCAGGATCGAGCCCCGTGTCGGGCTCCCTGCTCGGCGGGAAGCCTGCTTCTCCCTCTCCCGCTCCCCCTGACTCCCCCTCTCTTGCTGTGTCTCTCTGTGTCAAATAAATAAAATCTTTTTTAAAAAAATATTTAATCATGATCTATGGATATGGTCTTAAAAGGACATAAACCTCTCCGTGGTTTTTGAAAAAAAAATCTAATACATATATATTTCAATATGTATATAGTTCATATCTGTTTTCTAAACACCTATTTAAGGTGTAATTGAAACACAAAAACCCTGCATGTTTCATATACACAACTTGAGGAGTTAGGCCGTGTGCAAAATCTGTGACACCATCACCACATTGAAGGTAATAAACATCCATCACCTCCAAAAGTGTCTTCGTGCCCCTTTATGTGTGTGTGTGTTTACCACGTGGTACAAAACACTTAACACGAGGTCTTCCCTCTTCACAGATTTTAAGTGCATGGCACTGTACTGCCGTATATAGTTTAGATCTTAAAAACAGAGGGAACTCTGGGGCTCCTGGGTGGTTCAGTTGATTAAGTCCCTGCCTTCTGCTCGGGTCATGATCCCAGGGTACTGGGATCGAGCCCAGAGTGGGACTCCCTGCTCAGCGGGGAGCCTGCTTCTCCCTCCCCCTTTCCTTCTGCTGCTCCCCCTTCTTGTGCTCTCTCTCTCTGTCAAATAAATAAAATCTTAAAAAAAACAAACAGAGGGAACTCTGGAGTCCATCAGCACAGAAAAATAATAAACAAATGAACTCATGTTGTACTTCTGTTTTGAAACTTCAGTAGAAATGTCCATTTTTTCTTTTTCTCTCATATCACTAGATGCTACAGTGGATGATGGGACCACAGCACGTAGAGCTGAGCCAGGCTTCGATGACACCAGCTAGCCCAGCCCTCTGCTTTTATTGAGATCAGAAATCCAAAAATGTCAAAGGACTCTCCCAAAGCCACAAGGCCTTAAGAGGAGGCTGGAAACAATCCTGCAACCTCTTGTCTAGCAGGTGACCTCCTGGAGTGTGTGCATTCGCCTAAGTCAGTAAGGATTCAGGGGTTATCACCTGCCACTTGTTAGAATGGCTAGTATCAAAAAGACAAGAAATTGCATGTGTTGGCAAGCATGTGGAGAAAAAGGAACCCTTGTGCACTCTTGGTGGGGGTGTAAAGTGGGGCAGCCTCTACAGAAAACAGAATGGAGGTTCCTCAAAAAATTAAAAATAGAAATAGCCTATGACCCAGCAAGTCCACTTCTGGGTACTTGTCCAAAGGAAATGGAAACACCAACTCGAAAAAAAATCTTCACCCCCCTGTTCACTGCAGCATTATTTAAACATGGAAATAACCTAAGTGTCCATCAACTGATGAATGGATAAAGAAAATGTGGGATAGACACACTATGGAATAACACTCAGTCATGAACAAGGATGAAATCTTGCCATTGGAACACCATGGATGGATCTTGAAGGCATTATGCTAAGTGAAGTAAGCCAGACAGAGAAAGACAAGTATTATATGATATCACTTATACGTGGAATCCAAAAGAAAGAAAGAAAATTCAAATTCATAGATACAGAGAACAGGTTGGTGGTTGCCAGAGGCTGGGGGGTGGCGGTGGGGGAAGTGGTAAAGGGGGCCAAAAGGTTAAAAACTTCCCAGTTTATAAAATAAGTAAGTCCCGAGGATGTAATATACAGCACGGTAACTATAGTTGTTATTATACTGTATATTTGAAGGCTGCAAAGAGAGGTAGATCTTGAAAGTTCTCATCGCAAGAAAAAAAATGTATATGTGGGGTGCTGGATACTAACTAGACCTACTATGGGAGTCATTTCACAAGGTACACAAATATTGGATCATTATGTTGTACACCTGAAACTACTATAATGTTATATGTCAATTATATTTCTAGTAAAAAAAAAATAAGGACTTGGTCTCAGCCAACATGTTCTCAGAACTGTATCATCAAAGTTAGCTAAAACTAGAGTTACTTTTCCCTTGCATTATAAACCAAACTCATGGGTTTTCTAATTAATTTCTTTTTGTGGTCCACAACTGGATCATGGAATTCAAAACAACACACTCAAGCAAGCCTGTATCTTTTGAGGGAGGGATCTCATTTGGGCTCTTTCAGGCTCAGTAATTACAAAGATGGATAATCATATTTGCTACCGAACCACCTTAGAAGTGTGGGCTAAGAGAACCAAGGAGAGAGCAGATGGAAGAATCGGGCACAATAATTCTTTATGCGTAACCAGCCGAGAGAGCTTTACGGCCACCATAATTGATATAGACTGTCAGGGTTGGGAGACAGAGGAATGCGTGCAATTGCCCTTCGGGGATTACCAGATCCCATCAGAATGTAAATCATTTAACAGTGTACAAATGACTTAACAGGAACACTGTCCAGGGTTTCCACAATGGCCCATTTCTACTCACACGCCGTTCCTTTCCATTCCCACCAAGGACATGCTGAGCGCTCACGTGCACGGCCCCGTACGGGGATGTGTGCTCTCCTGTCAAACATTTACACCCACAGTGCAGCTAATGGTCGATGGTGGGCTAATCGTTAACCTTCGAGAAGAGGCTTGTAAGTAGCATGCAACTCAAAACCAGCCATCAGGAACAACCCTTTTAAGTGTGAACATAGCTTTTAGTTCATTATTTGACTCATCTGCTAAATGAAAATGTTCCAGGGAGGGGCGGCAGGTTAGCAAAGGCAGAGGAAGGTCTTTGAAAATTTCATTTTATTTTATGCATCCCGTTATACAGTTCCAGGAGAGTCTGTCAGAAACGAACCTGGTGGTGAACGTGAACTGGAACGTGCCATTATTCAGAGTCAAAGCTACCAAAAATGCATGATTCAAGGCCTGCCCCGATTTACCCAAGTTCTCCCTCACCGCACCCGTCCTCAGGGTAACTGGGCACCCTCACCCTTCAACTGGGGTGAGTTTTCACCTTCTCTGACCTTGACCGTCTCCCAGGGAAGATATTAAAAAAACAGGGCGAGTCAAAACGTGTCCAGGAGGAGGGAAAAGGAATTAAAGACTGAAGTGGCTCAGATAGCGTGTACGCTTGCACAACCCGATGGAAAAGAGCTGCTTCATTACTTCTTCCCATCTCTAGTTAATACTGACTGAGCTCAAGAATCGTCTTGTTGTCTGTCCTCAGAGGAGTCAGCCCAGACATCTAGATGGTGTGTGGAAGAACCAATGCAGGAGTGTGGGAGGACACGAATGTGAAGAACATTCATTCCTACCGTGCAGCCTCTACCCCATTCCCCAACGTCTCCTGCTCACAATGTGCTCCCCCCTCCTTTGACACCTGGCCCTCCCGGGGGGATTTAATCTTTAAAATCCACTGCGATGCAACAGCGTTTGAGACTTTCTGCCCACACCACACGTTTCCTCTTGTGCCTCAAAACCTACAAGCTGGGGGCGCCTGGGTGGCTCAGATGGTTAAGCGTCTGCCTTTGGCTCACGTCATGATCCCAGGACCAAAGCCCTGCAATGGCCTCCTTGCTGGGCAGGGAGCCTGCTTCTCCCTCTGCTTATGCTTGCTTTCTCTCTCTGACAAATAAATAAAATCTTAAGATAAAAAAACAAACAAACCACCTACAAGTTGAGTTTCCCGAGTGGAGGGGTGGATAGGTGTCTCCATCTATCCCTCCCCTCCAGTCACACACAATGTTGCCACCTAACAATCCAAAAGACAACTCTGCCTTATTTTTACATGGCTTCTCTGGTAATACCCAGAGATGGTATCTTTCACGAGTCTCTGCCCCAGCAGAGAAAATAAGCTGCACGAGACGACAAAGAGGGCATGCCACGTTGGCGCTGGGTCTTCCCTAGCTGAGGATAGCATGGGGCAGGAGGAGTGGGAGAAGACCCGTCAAGGAAGAGCTGTAGGTGCTGCCCAGCTGGCCTGACCCAGAGGCCGGGGTACGACCCTCCTCTGTGCCCCTGAGGCTTTCAGAGCATCTTCGGGGTGTTTGCTGAGCTCCAATCTTGCCTAGGGATCCAGGGTGGTCTGATGGGCACGTAAGAACTTTACCTTAGATGCACGGGCACAAGGAAGGAGCTGGTAGAAGGGAATGTGATGCTTTCCGGTTATTACGGCCATTCG